TGTGTTAACAATTATTGGAAGAGAAGTTGTACTCAAACGTCGATATGCTTCTGTATTTGAAAGGTACGCAGAAATATGTTATTCAGCTGTCATCTCCCGGTGCCTTACTATTGGCAAGCCAACAGGCAAGCCTATCTAAATACTTATACGTCCGACATAGACAAAGCCAACTGGCAGTATTGAAAAAGCCACTGATTTCCAGGATCACTTTCGTCTACCTCAGCGAGGAATCCCCTTTAGAAGCTCTACATAGTCAAATTATTCCGTTGTCACCTACTTCATTCCTTTTGGACTGTGTAGATGTTTTCATCGACATTTTTGGGATAGATAACGTGTCTGCTTTTCTCTTCCGATTGAAAGGTAAATGAAAACTCAAGGCCACACATGCAGAACCACCATTCACCTATTTTTTTATTATAAAAGATAGGTAGTATAATTTTTTTTTGCTAGAGAATATCGTAAATAACAGTTAGAGCCTTGACAATTGTAGACAAGTTTTCTGTCGTAACCATATGCTCGGAGCCTTCCACGTCCGATGAATGCTTTAAACGATTGGAATCAATGGCAGACACGATAATTACGCTTGAATTACTAGACGGCGAATGCATAGCAGATATTGTAACATATAAGAAAAATGGAAAACAAGCTAAAATGGTCTGCAGTTTTTCCTCATATTCTCGAAATTACGCTATCGTACTTTTTAGAAGGAAATTTTTGCTATATCCGAAGAATTGAAAATATCGAGCAAAAAGTATGTACCGCCTGAACTGCATCAACTGGCAACTGATACAAAGGTTGCGGAACTGGATATAGAACCTGAACTAGGAGTGAGTTAGGTTCGATTTTGAGTTTTTCTTGACAACTGAGACTTTTAAGGAAAAGGAACAAATTGCCAAGCACAGTCTTAGCCTCCCATTCACTTCTAAGACGAAGCAATCAGGTATGAGTGTCCATGATAAAACTGTCCATTTTCTCATACAACATTTGAGCAAAACAAAAAAAAAAAGAACAAAAAAAAATGGAAAAAATATCAAATCACTTTTTGAAACGATTTTTAGGTCTTCCCGTTTCTTGCTCCAAAATTTTTTTACGGTTCTGAATTTACAACGTGGTTTATTCTGAAAGAATTACCAAGACAACT